GCCTCAATAACCCCCATATGCAAGTTTACAGCGAATTTGATGAATTCAGGGCGCCATCTGGCGCCAAATGGCGCCAATTTGGCGCCAGCGCCAAAAATGGATCTCATATTCGTGATCAGGACCCTCGATAACCCCCATGGATGAAGTTTCAGCGAAAACAGCAGAAAATATATAGAAAGAACCAAAAAAGATGGATTTCCCCTGGGACAATGTCAGCCACCGGTGGCTGACATTGCGCAATCGCCTCTGCCGGCGCTGGTCCGAACGGGAAGACTCATCCCGCGCGGTCGCGAATGGGTTAAGAAATAGCTTTCGATGGGTTTGTCCAACGAAGGTATAGAACACATTTGGTATGCTCACCTTGCCAGACCTTGCTTATCCCCTTCGTCGCCTTCCATTCCAATATCTCGCTCACTTTCAATTCGGTATTCTTGCCTGCCACCTCGTCCTCTGTCGTCCCGTCGTTCAGTTCTCTCCGACCGATCTTCCCTCATGTCATGTTGTATTCGGATTTCTTGGTCATTGCTTCTCACGCGATCTTTCTGCTTTTCATGTCTTACTCGACGCTCCCTATGGCCACTAGGTGCACTCCTTCTGGGATGAGATGGGTGGTAGCGGCCCAAGTGCTGAAAACTCATATACCGATAAAAACCTTGGTCAATTACTCGCGGCAGCCATATGAAAATACCTTCAACTCGACTGCCACGTTTTCAAGCCAATCCCTCGCCGACTCTTCCTCCCAAAACGTCCCAGGAAGTTTGACGAGAAGGTCGTAATATGTGGTCCAAGCGTGCCACTAAAATACCCTATTTGTTCGGCTTCACTGCACTCTATAGGAAGAGTTCTGCAGTGCTCGCCTGATAAGCTCACCACTTCTTCTCCATGGTACTTATAAGTGTCGATAACAATAAACATGTCCATGATTGCAACGAGGAAATCAGAGAAATCGTCATCCCACTTACGCGAGTCATTTACAGCCGGGTATCCAAACCATTCACACATGGTTGGGATGTACCTAAAATTCACATAATGGAGATGGATGAAATATAAACATGAGGTTTTGATTTGTTTTCTTCTATGAACTGCTTTTTATGAAAATAGTAGTCAAAGAATACACAACATCAAAAATATTAATATCTGCTAAAGATTCCAATTGGCTATCCAATGCCGATTTCTGCTAAAAGGCTCATCAAGAAGATAAGGGTTAGAGAATGGAAATAAATGTAATCAATATAGGTGTGATGTGGAAAAATCAGCAACTGAGCTTAGGGGTAAATAGGTAGATAAGAAAGGGTTGTATGCGAGGTGTGACGCCCTGGATTCGCACCTCTCGAAATTTTGTCGAATTTCAACAAACCTTTTCCCTAAAGTACAAAAAACAGAAAAAAAAACAGAAATTGCGTGGAATTGAAACGAAGAAACCTTACCGTGTTGAAATCACAGAATCGATGATACGCTGAGCGCTTTCATGAACATCCTTCATATCAGTTTCCACTGAGCAAGAAATATGTAACAGTTGCATGAGAAAGATATTTGGACGGATATTCCGGGAAAGGAGAAGCCAACCGATTGAACAAGTGCGGAACAGCTAGCTCCGTTGCCTTAAGTGAGAATGAAACGGGTAGTTCAGTCATGTGAAAATAGGTTGTAGGAAGACGCACCAATTTTACGTCTAAGCGATTGTTCCTGGCATATTTCAACGCTTCCACAATATCATCTGGTGATGCGATTCTTCTCCTCTCATCAGGAGAGCCTGAGATAAATCAGTTGCCAAGAACACAGGAGTTTTACAGAACTCTGTACGATTAAAAAACCCAACAGGCGGTAAGAGTACATAGAGGCCTACGAAGCCACTGGACCATCGCTCGGGTTCTCCGGAGTGAAGACTCGACGCCGCTCTCACCCTATCTCGGTTGCGCTATCCGTACTAAAAAAATAAAAGTCAAGCTCAATATATTTGACGACTACGGCGAAAGACTTCACTGAAGAAGGTTTCTGTTCTGCAAAAACCGCGAGACAAAGAGTGAATAGAAATATAACTCCTAACTTTCAACACTTTATTATATGTCCTAAAAACTTAAACTAGCAATCTACCCTACAAGTTTTCACTTCGCGCATAAAATGAATGTGAAATGGCAGGGCAATGATGCTTATTCAATCAATGAATCCAGCGGATACCAACTTGCTATAAAGTCATGAAATCGCAAGAATATAGACCCGTTCGATCCGTTCATTTTGGCATAGACCTCTCATAATTACTACATGACAGCAACTGCTCAAAGAAACGTCGCGCAGCCGGCAGAAATACTGGGCCCAGGCAGCTTTCTATGATTGCGCATCGATTAAACAAAGCCAGGTCATAGCCAAAAGCAGTATACCGCTAAGGCATCATCTCCATATGCTTACGGCGGTGTTCCATTATTCAATTCGCAAAACGCTGCTCAAATCTCTATAAGAGTGTATACTAATATTGGATTGGCGTCAGATTTTCGGAACTTTTCTTGTGGTTCATTGAACAATCATACCAACTATGTGCATTTTACCAAGCGCTGACTTGGAAGCAGAATCTCGCGACGAAAACGCCATTCCTCCGAATGAGGGAAAGTGTGCCACATGTAATATGAAGAAAAAATTAAGAAAGGGTTTAGAGCTCCGAAAAGGGGTACCACTTCCTGGTCGTTCGTCGTTCCAAATTGATCGACTCTCCATCGTACATGGCGCCGCCAATCGGTAACGCTCTTCTACGAGTTAGTCCACACAGCGCCGCGGCTCCCAAACTGGGCCGATTTCTAGGCAATGAAGGGGGCGTACACGCGCCACAACAAAGCGGCGTTACAGTGAAAAGGTTCGAAGAAATGTAAATGTCAAAACACGACCATGAAACATAAATCAACAGCTTAACAGCGTTATTTTTTAGAATTCCATCCTTTCCTACGGAAAATATTACGATGATAAGTCATTAAGCAGGTACGAAAATTTACTTACGTCACAGATCTGCATATTGCAGTGTCATCAGCTTTGTCATGCTCAGTTGGATTTGAACACTGTGGACTAACTATGCCATTCGAAGATGCAGGTACACTTAAAAATGTAGCGCAGTCACGTACTTGTGAGCTTGGGCTAAAACTGAAATGAAAGTGAAAATCGCTAACTCTGATACACTTGCTACTTCTCGCTTGGGCATGTTTCTGTCCCTTCTCAGTTTCCTTCACAAGTGAAGAGAATTCACGACACCATTCGCTGAAAATGCAAACAGATGAATCAGCATTGCACAAAATTTCAAGATGTACTACTCACTCAAGTTTCTCGTAAGGATTTTCAGCGGTACTGACAGCAATATCTGCTAACTCTTGGCTGGTCACTTCAAAAATATAAACATACTTGGAGAGCCTTTCTGAACGAAGAAAATGCCCGTCACCTAAGAAACTGCGTGCTTCAAGTATATCAAACATGTGTGACAAACTAGAACGAAATTACAGTCATCGATGAGCACTAAGACGGGGAATAGGGCCTTTCTTTCGTTCACGAATTCGTCGTTGCATTTCGTTTGAAATCTGAAAAATGTTCCAAATACCTACAAATCCACAAGAACACTTGTATTTGTCATGGAATTACCTCTTCACCATCTTCGGAACTTAAACTGTAATACATTGGTGCCTCCTCCAACATCACCTCATGAGAGCACAACGCATCATAGATTTTAGTAACAGCGCTCCTAAATTTGACTGTTACTTCAGAGTAACTGATTCGATGAGAGGCGAGATCTGTGGATATTTACGTGCCGTCGTGAAGAGCCACTTGTGCGCTAGTAGTAAGAGCAAGAATCAGCGAACACCAGCCAAATCGGTGCAGCGCAATCATTCGCGCAAATTGTATGGCAATAGTCACATACAGCAAGTAAAGGTACCTTCTGCTTCCGGGAGACGTTCAGTTCTCCCCCAAGGTCGTCACCAGAGCTGCGCGATCATTAAGACTGTGCTTGAGCTTAGATTAGACTTATGCTTATTCTTACATACTCTTGTTTATGTTGACCCCTATGGTTTGACTTAGGCTTAGTTTCAAGTTTGGTACAAACAAATGAGTGGTGTCCTAATTTTAGGTAACCCGACCAGAAGGAGAGCTGAAACAGAGGAAGGTTCAGACTTTATGGCTGAATTGCGATCGCTGACGCGGTTTCAATCGCGAGGCCTGAGGCCGCAGGCAGCAGCACCTGCGAGTGGATGTGTCCCCAAAGTTGGGATTCGCCCACAACTTTGGAGACGGGGATGGGTCCCCATACTTAAGGACCCATCCCCGGCCGGGTGCTGATGCATATGACTCCTGGCACCTCAGACTTTGCGCCCGTCACGCGACATCGCATCTAACACCTGTCCACCCGCCCTTTCGTGACAGAACAAAAAATTACATACTTAAAAATCAATTTTTAGCCTGACCCTTATATTTATGGCCATAATATTGCTTGAATAATGATCTAAAAGCAAACAAAATAAAAAAAAATTAATCTGTAAATAATCTCACCAAACAACATCCGAGTCTCTTATCGCTGTAGTCTTACTGCCAAACTTGATAAACACCCATGATCGTCGCACATTTGCATAGGGATCAGTGTGGGCCCTCAAGAGGGCTGATGGAAACTTTTCTTCAGTGTAGACCATTTTCGAGTTCAACGGATGAATTATATGACCAGAGCGATTGCTAGATCTGAATGCAGCACGAACATCGCGCTCCGATTGATCTACTTCAATCCAATCAATACGCAGGCTTGCTTCCGGATGTCGGTTAGCAACTGGGACTACCGTCAATGCTACGACACCTCCACCTTCTATAAATCCGCGAGTTGGGTGCACTTTATAACTCCTTGTTCTGCAGTTGAGCCAAACCTGAAAAAATAGCGAAATATGTGACATTGAGGACGCCAGAGCCGTAAGGTATGCTTCCCCGAATAGTTGGGGGACGAGAATCCCTTTAAATTTATTTGTTTTGAACGATACTGTTTCTTCATTTTCAGTGCATGTTTACTTTAACCTACACACATATATTAAACCAGTTGGCGCCGCACGCATTGCGCGCGCAACACAGATCTGCGGCGAATTTTGATGGTGCGACGAAAATTTTCAAATTTGGCTTGATACACCACGAATATCTGAATTCTCAGCTAAATTCTATCCGCTCCATCATCGACGGCTTTCAACCTCTTTTTCTTCGTCAACCATTATCCTCTTTTTCCCGGTCTCCGGACTGCTTCCGGACAATAAATCTCGTGGCAAACTCCGCCTACTTCGGTGCGTGCCCCGCCCACCAATAGCATTTGGCCCCCTTCCTTTCGCCGACCTCTACCCCTTTTTCCACCGGTCTCTGGGACCTCTTGGAACCAAATTACGACACTTTTGGCAAACTCCGCCCACTTAGGTGCGTGCTCCGCCCACTAATAGCAGTTGACCTCTTTTCCCTCACCAACCTCTAACCCCTTTTCCCCTATCTAGGACCTTCTTGGAACCGAGTTATGAATCACTCCACCACCCACCTCTATCCACCTTTTTCCCGGTCTCCGGGACTTCTTGGAACCGAGTTATGAATTTTCGTGCAAACTCCGCCCACTTTGGTCATGCCCCGCCCACCAATGACAGTTGGCTCCACTCCTTCCACCCACCTCTATCCACCTTTTTCCGGCCTCCGGGACTTCTTGGAGCCGAGTTATGAATTTTCGTCGCAAACTCCGCCCACTTTGGTCAAGCCCCGCCCACCGATGACAGCTGGCCTCCACTCCTCCACCCACCTCTATCCACCTTTTTCCGGCTCTTAAGACTTCCCCGGCCCGAATTATGAGGACTTGTAGAAAATGCTGTACACTTCAGAGCGCGCTCCCGCCCATTCTGGGCGGCCTCCGCCCACGTCATGTATGCTGGAAACACCTTAGACATTGCTCCCTTACACCAAATTGTTTTCTGCTCTGTAGGCTTTCTCCCAACCGAGTTATGAAATTTTTCATAAAGCACTGCTTTTTTGGAGAACGCCCCGCCCACCGGGGGTGGGTCTCCCTAATTCGATGTGACTTACCAATGCACACCTTTACCCACTTTTTGGCCCAGTTTCGAGGTCGTTTTTAAGAGAATTGAAATCTTGGTCGTCAGTACACTTCATTCGACGCACGCCACGCCCACTGTGGGCGGGGCTCCGCTTAGCTGATGTGTGTTTTGTACTTCGTGAGACCTTGCCCACCCATCCCACACTTGACCCGGTCCCTCCAGGCGGATCCCGAGGAGCTAGGGAATTTCGTGACAGACATACAGAACGACAGACGACAGACGACAGACGACAGACGAAGCGCTTTATAGTAAGTAGGATGTAGGCCCTTTATCAGGACAATCCCAGTTGGGAAGACAGAGAAAATTTGAAGTGATTTTCGTCCCCCAACCCTTCGTGGAAGCATACCTTACGGCCTAGGTAATTCGTTAGAGATAACACGCTAATTAGAAGCGGGCC